GGGTCGCCGTCCCCAGCTCTGTCCCTGCACCCGCGCCCGCCCCTGCCCCGCACAGCCTCCAGCGCCGGGGCAAGGGTGCCCTGGGCTGCGCGTCAGCGCCCGCGGCCGTCAGGAAGCCTAAGGCGGTGAGGAGGCTGAGCTTCGCAGACGAGGTGACCACGTCCCCGGTGCTCGGTCTAAAGATCAAGGAGGAGGAGCCCGGGGCGCCGGCGCGGGCTTTGGGCGGCGTCCGCACGCCGCTGGGGGAGTTCATCTGCCAACTGTGCAAGCAACAGTACGCGGACCCCTTCGCGCTGGCTCAGCACCGCTGCTCCCGCATCGTGCGCGTCGAGTACCGCTGTCCCGAGTGCGACAAGGTCTTCAGCTGCCCCGCGAACCTCGCCTCCCATCGCCGCTGGCACAAGCCACGTCCCGCGCCGTCCTGCGCCGCGAGTAAACCTCCCTCCGCGCCGTTGACCCCTTCGGACCCTTCCCTGGCGGCGGGCAAGGAGAACGGCCGCATGCCGCGGACCGACGATCAGCACCCGCAGGTCCGGGACAGCTCCGGGGACGGTCAGCACCAGGACAGCGCCGCGCGCCCAGGCCTGCAGGCTTTGGTGCACCCGGAGGCAGCACGACCGCAGGCTCCCTACCCCGAGGTGATGCTAGGGCGCCGTGGTCTCGGGCCAGGCGGTGCCAGCCCGGGGGCGACATCCGAGGTCTTCGTGTGTCCGTATTGCCACAAAAAGTTCCGTCGCCAAGCCTATCTGCGCAAGCACCTGGGCACTCACGAGGCGGGTCCGGCGCGAGCACCAGCCCCGGGTTTCGGCTCGGAGCGCACAGCCCCACTCGCCTTTGTGTGCCCGCTTTGCGGGGCGCACTTCCCGTCCGCGGATATCCGAGAGAAGCACCGGCTATGGCATGCTGTCCGCGAGGAGCTGCTACTGCCCGCCTTGGTCGGGGCTCCTTCGGAAGCAGGCCCTGGAGGGGGATCCGACGGTAGCACTCAGCAGATTTTCTCATGCAAGTACTGCCCTTCCACATTTTTTAGCTCCCCTGGCTTGACCCGGCACATCAATAAGTGTCACCCTTCAGAAAGCCGGCAAGTGCTGCTGCTGCAGATGCCACTGAGGCCTGGTTGCTGAGGGACCCAGGCCTGGCGAGATTTCCAGAATGGCTGAAGAAAACAATATGGGAACTCCCGTGGGGCTTTTTTCACCTTGCAATTTCCTCTTTCCTTCCCTTGCCTTCCCTCTTAAAACTCTCCTAGTCATGATCCGCCCGGGGAGAGGGCAGCGAGATATAAAACCCCCTCTAGAGCAGGTATGTATCTGGCATAAAAATTCATGATCAAAGCTGACAGCTTTAAATCCTCATTTCCCCACTAAAATAGGGCATTCCCTTCCTTAAAACGCTGGAGACCCCAATGAACCCTATACGGTTTGTAGTTCCTATGGAAAGTCGCAGTGAACGCGTGCAAGTCTCAGTGTGTACCCAAGGTTCTACCTGAAGTGGTAGCCATCAACGACTTCTCCTCTTGCCACCACAGGCACTTACGTCGTTTCTGTCTCAATAGGGTCAGATTTCTTGCCTTGTATATTCTGTGAATCAAGCTATGTGACTGATGCCAAACTTGCAGGGAAGGAAGACTTAGACCCTTGTAGATGGACAGGAATATAAGAGGATGCTGCTGTCCGGTGTGAAAATATCCCTGGAACTTTCTTTTCCCAATTGAATGTATTCGTCCCTTCTTTTAAGTTAGGTTTTGGAGGTGGGGGAAGGTGCTGCTTAATCGGAAGGAGTTGGTGTGCCCTCTGCATTCTTTACCTATTTTATGTGCTGCATCCAGGAGGAGCTACTTAAAGGTTTTCTTTACATAACCTTTTTTTTTTAAAAAAATACTTTACTCATTCCTAAAGTTTGAATGTTTTAGAAAGATTTCATTCAAATTATTACAATTTTTGCTGTAAATCTGCTGCACACTGCATCGTAAACTGTTCAACTTAAAGAAGATGTTAACACCTGTAGCCCACTATGGAACTGAATGTCAATCAATTCACTCAATATTCTATATTTTCTTTTCAGGAACATTGGAATTTCTTTGTAAATCATATTCAATGTATATTGTGTATCTATTCCCTCACTAGCCAGAGTCTGGGATACTGGCTGAGCACTGTCCAACAATAGATTTGTAAGCTGCTTCCACCAAATAAATGGATGTAGACTGTGCCTGTTTCATTCTGTCTTAAGTGGCTGAACACAGCGTATTTTCCAAGGCACATCTCTTACTTCCTCAATACCAACATTCAACTTTAGGATCTTAGGGATCTATTTTGACAGAATATAAATGCCATCTTGCAAGTGAATATAATAGTGTTGAAATGCAATGGAACTTCCTCCTTTAAAGTCTAGCTGCAGACTGCAGCTCCATGGAGAGAATATAGACTTTTTTTTGCTTGTTTTAAGTCTGTTCAACAGGGTTACAGATATTATATAAATGGTGCTAATTGGTTTCACGATTTCAAATCAGCATTTTTGTCTGTCTTGTTACCTGTTATCAGTATAATAGAAATATATAAGAAGTTTGAGTTTTCTTTGAAAAATTCTGTTGGCTGTGGGAAACTACACTGTTTTAAACACATTCCCACAGGATTTCTCTACTCATCTAATTGTTTTATTTATGAGCACTAATTTAAAAGGTGAACAGGAACTCTAAAAATTTGCTTAGAAAAATTTGGTAGAAAGTTTTATTCCTGAAAGTATACTAAAAAAACACTGAAATGTAACAAGTCAAATATTATGAGAGAGATATGTTGATTTTGGTCGAGTTTCTGGCAGACTTAGGAAGCGCAGACTTCCCGTGCTGGAACTGACAGTGGGAGGACCTCTGAGAGCACACTGGGCTGCTTCTGAAAATGGCGTTTGTGTTTATTTTTTCATGATTAGCTAAGCTGCCCTAGGGGGCATGTTACATCTCCCAATTACACAGTCTTACTGCTTTTAAGTCTGAAAATACATGAGTAGAATACAATCATGGACAGGAAGTGTGAAGAATATTTTATTTTGTTTTATTAAATACCATGTCATCTTTTTATCCCATTACAAATCTGTAGACACTACATGAATGATACATAATTTATATTCTGTGGTTTGTCAGGATGATGTATTTACACATGCAGTTGGTATCAATCATGCTACATTTCCTTAGGAGATGCCCATGTTAAACAAAAGGGGGGCAGCTTACTTATTACAGGAAATACTTCTGGAGGTGGGATGCATACCAACCTGCACCTACAGCAAGTTCAGTACTAAAATATTAGATTTAACTTAAACTCCTGGGTTATGTTCCCTTACTTTTTAAACAATACACATAATTTGAGCAAACATTTATATGAGAACAGTCTTCCACCTTCCTCTCCACCACCTTCTCTTTTGGTACTCTGGAGCGCACACAGACACACCAGGATAAACTGGTCAGTGATATAGGACCACAGCCTCCAAACAGAAATGGTACTCAACAGTGATACCACCTCAAACAGCAGAACAAAGCTGTTTGGGAGCTAAAAGAAATCAAAGTCCTGTGGTGATTTTCCTAGTTATTCGAGAGGTTGTGTCGTCATTTGCACTGCCGAGAAATGAGACACTGACTTGGGAGAAAAGTTAATGAATGTAATTTCAGTTGGAATCTGAGCTGCTGCATGGCCATTAGATGTTTCTGTCTGTAACAATCTGTACACAACCCACATAACGAACAGATGTGCAGCTTTTGCTCTAGCTTTATAAATGCTAATAGTCATTTATATTGTAGGGCTGGGCCGTGAAGGACAGTGTGCTTGCCTAGCATGTGTGGGATGTTGGCTTCCATTCCCAGCACTACAAAAAAGGTTACATTTGTAAAAACTATGTATTTATTAAATTATAAAGTTGTAATGAGGCACAATAAATAACACAAGACTATCTGTCCAATTATATTTTGGCTCAACATTAATCATGAACTTGAAGGTAGCACTAATTAGACATGATTATCTAGGAAGGTCAAGAGTATGAATTAAAACTCGATCCCCTCAGAATATGACAGCATGGAGTGTGGGAAAAAAACTGAACTAAATAAATAGTCCAAATTTAAAATAAGAAGTTGCAAATTACTTTAAGTCCAGTGTTTTCTCAAAGAACTGTACAGGAAGAAACATGAATGCTGTGGCAAACATGAGGTCTGAAAGAGTTAACACTATGTTTGTGCCAGGGTGGCTACTGTTGATCACTGCTGGGCTGTTTGTCTCCTTAGGATTTATTGGCTGAGCCAGAGGACCGACGCAGCTTCATGGACATGCGGCTTTTGCTAGTTCGAGGAGACATTGGAGAGGCCAGGTCAGCCCCATCTACCTGTGCTGCTGTGGGAGCGTCACTGGGTAGACTCTCTGGGTAGGATCCTGTAGGAGAGAGGGAGCATGTTAGTATTCTCCAGTCTCAGATCGTAACCACCTTCCTGCTGCTATGCTATCCGGAGCAGGATCCCAACCCTTCACAAGGACTTCAGAAGTTAAAAAAAGCAATCCCCAGAGTTTACTAATGTATCTGAAACCCTGTGATCTGGTGGCTCATGTCATATTAAAGAAAGCACCAATCATCATATCCAGAGCCAGAACCCTGGAAATGGCAATGAGAAATAAAATCGTTGGGTCTGAAAGACCAGCGACCCAAAGCACCACCAGCATGCAGGGCAGGGCATGGAAGGTGGGAAGGAAGACCAGTCACACTGCGCAGCCACAAGGCATCCTCACACTACATGCTAGGCTCCAAACAGGAAGGGCCTTAGGAGACCATGCTAGGTACATAAGTAGTTATAGAAAGAGCAGACAAATTCTTGCGAGAAGGAAAAAGATAGGGATTTTCATTTGAAAGCCAGTCAGAAAAGACAAACCGACCTCAGAAAAATGTCTCTGGCTGTAGATTTTACTTTTTGTGTTCATTAGCTTAGATGTTTACAGTTAGCAGTAGAATTAGTAGACACAGAATTTTAAAATAGGCAAAACAAATTCAAATAGGAAAATCCTGTGTCATTTACAGAATAGTTCTTCTCACTGACATTTGGGCTTGGGAGTAATTATGCTAGTGTTTCAATGTAACGGAACACCCATGATTAAAATGAAGGTATACATATTTCTAAGAGAAAACCAAAAATGCTCAATAACAGATCCTGTTGAGGTATCTTAAGAATATATCTCCAAAAAATTCTTCAAAGTACTTTTAAAGAAAAAGTAGTAAAATTCTACTTAGAGACAGATATACATTTCCAAGGGAAACTATTTTGTCACTTGTACCCGTGTACTGCCTGCTCAATATATCCTCCCCAACATTTCCTTTCTAGCCCAGATGAGGCTGGCCTATAAAGCAGGAAGGTTTTTTTTTTTTTTTTGGTTTGTTTTTTTCAAATTTACTCTTCCCGATGATCTGAGCTGGTTCACAGTAGACTAGAATACTCAGAGAATGTGCGTCCACTGCCCACTTAGGGAAGCCTGGCACCAGAGTGGGAAAGACAGCGAGGAGCAGAAGCTGAGCTTTCCGGTGCCATGGAGGTGCTGCTGTGTGAGGAGAGGTCTTCCCTCCCAGCGCTGTTCCAGAGGGCCAGTGTCTCTGGCGGAGGTTGGGAGGGCCAGAACTAGCAGTACATGCCTCTCTGCTGTGAAGGAAGAAACGTAGTAGCAGGCAGAGTGGAGAACAAAAGAGAAGATAGACGGCAGGCTTGAGGGAGACTGCGGAGCTACAGGCGTTACCCGAGTAACGGAGAGCAATCAGGGTGGTATTATGAACACAACTGGCATGCAATGAGTTCGGATGGTGACGTTCCACAATGGCCAGTGCTTCGCTGGTTCAGATGCCATACTTACCAACTAACAAAACAAGTTCAAACAGGAAAAGAGAACAGGAAAAAGTCTGTGAGAGAGCCGAGAAACACCTACTGTCTAACGTGTGCACTGATTGTCTTATAATTCAGTCATTGGATCTCAGAGAGACAGTGTAATGAGGTAATAGCTACAACTATGTATGAGGTAATAGTTCATATTTCATGTAATTAAAATTGGAAATTGAAATTCCTTGCTACTCTAGCCATATTCAAGCGCTGAGTCACACCTGGTTAGCGGCTGTCGTCTTGGATAGAACAGACACGTGACATTTACATCACAGCAGTTTACCGACAAGAACCTGCTGTCAAGCCTCCCAGTAGAGAGTATTTCTTTATCCTCAAACCCAGTGCTAGAATGAAGACTCTTTGGAGAAAACCAAAAATTTTCCATCAACTGTTTTTGTTGGTTGAAACTCTTGAACTCTTGAAGGTTGCCTGACAATGAGAATTACTGGTTTCCTATGACTTTTTAATGGCAGTAAAGAAAGCCCATCTCTGGGCATCAGGGTGCATACCCCATTTCCCTATTTAGAATCAGCTTTCTTCCAAACCAGCAATTCTCTCACGTCTTCTTTATTGCCTCCCAATTTGGTCATAAGAACTCGAGAAAGGAACTGTATAATGAGGTAGTTATAGCCACATTAAAAATGATTAAATTTCCTTTCATGCAATTAAAAATCAACTGAGGCAGGCAGGGCTGGTGTAGGTCTCACACTAACACCTCTGAGTGGAGTACACTCAGCACAGCCACTCTACAGCAGTGCAGATGAGGCAAGCCTCAGTTTGGATTTGGAAAGAAAACAGTCACACTTGCCATTTCCTGCCACAACCTATTCTTCCTAATTATTGATTTACACCACGTGAGTCATGAAGACAGGACCGAGTTATTCCTGTGTCTGCTGTATCTTCCAGGGTGGTATAAGAAAGTACCCATGGCTCCTACGTTCACGCAGTACAAGCTGGTACACCGCGTGCTGAGTACAATAAACCATCATAAATGATACCATGGATATGACTTTGGGGGCTCCACAGACATTTTAAAAGGGAATATAAACGGTTTAAAAATTTATTTTGGTTTGGTTTA